GTGGCAACTCTGATATGAATAGACATGAGTCAAAATTACAGWCTTTATTTTATTAATGTTTAAAACCGTGTATATGGACTTAAACCTTTGAATTGTGCAGTGTCAAACAGCTGTTTTTGTGTGCGAGTTTGGATCAGAATGAGGTCAATCCGGAATCAGAATATTTCAAAACAGACCTTCTTGTGGATTTCCCATCATAGCATGTTGTAACTCAGTAAAACAAATCTTAGAATAAACTAAAGCCTGAAAAAACTGTGTGAAGTGCATGCAGAAAAGACACACAAGGCACATAATTTCCCATCTTCAGCATCTATTTTCAAGCAATTATCTTTAGTTACCCGTAAGCCAGTAGTTGCCTGAAGCCATTTTTGCTTTGCAAAGAGCAACTAGGAGCAGAAAAAAAAGAAGGAAAACAGCAAAGACAACAGTGTTGCACAGAAACAACACTGCTTTCTCCTGAAAGAAAACTGAAGGGAAGACACAACACTTTGACACTGGGATTGAACCAGGTCTCCCCCCCCCATCCCCCCAGCAAAAACAAAAAAAAACCTTTTGACTGTTACCGAGTTTGTTGCTTATTATTGCTGCCAGTGCTGAATAATGTGGTTAACGCATCAGGAAACAAATGCTAAAGTTGTTTGTATCTCAGAAAAAAAMCCCACTTTGGCTTCGAAAAGAAAAATGTTTATCTGATGTGAGTTAGTTTTGAAATCTGTGWATGTGTGCCTTTTTTGTGTGTCTACATGGCTCTAACTATGTTAAATACTTAGATGTTCACTTGTGCTGAAACACCCTTGAGGAGCTGTTCATTTGATTTATCATTACCTTTCAGGAGCGTGTGCCCTCATTTGCATTTTGCCAGCTAATAAACCCCCAGGATTCTCATCTATGCTGGCAGATGTATATATACTAGTCCCCTTCCCATCGCACAAACACAACCACATTCGTACACACCCACACACGTGAACACATGCTCATACCCACTTGCCCGCAACAACCTCAAGGGAGACATAAGAAATAAATTCGACACTTCCGCTAACCCAAGAAGCGCCTTAAGGACAAAGAGAAATTTAATCTTGGATAAGCCTCCCGATAGAATCTCTGCATTAGCCCTCTGCTGCTGGTTCACAGCTATCCCATCAACCCTTACCTCCCACACCTTGGCCCAATTCCCTCGTATCTCTCCTCCACTACATTGCTTGTTTCTTCTTCTTTTATTTCTTCCTTTCCTCTTGCCTCTCCTCAAATATCTCGCTGCTCTTTTCCTTGTTCCCTCCTTGTCATTAGGCTTCAGTCTTTTCTTCTACACTGTTGCATTCCTTTAACCATCCCTTGTGCCCTCATGCCTTCACAGCCTCTTTCCATTCTACCAACCAGCCTTCATCTCTTCATCTACTCCCAGTTGTGGAACACATTGTATGTCTCTATATTTCTGCTCCTCTGTCTTGTTGGAAGGCTTTAATACCATTGGTATTAAATGCTGGCACGACCTCCTCAGCATACTTAAACAGGCAGGGATCCTTGTAAGGCTGTTTGAGTGCTTAATATTTTCAGCATGCTGCTGACTTAAGCCCCTTAAGTGCTTTGGCAACACTTATTCCACGGTGGCACCAATGAAGCCCATTAAAAATTTGATTTGGTCGAGAAAGAGAGGGAGAAAGTAAAAAGAGGAAGGGGGGATAGGGGATACAATTTACCTTTGCTGCCTTTCCTTCCGCACACACTGCGACAAAAACAAATACGCCCAACAGGAGACTGCTCACACAGGGACATTTCAGATATACAAATACACCCATGCTTGCCAGTGGTGCAATGATTTGCAATGTGTTTTCTTTTTGTCTGTAATTATGTCATTTGTTGCTTTATAAAACACTTTGTGATGATCCCATTTTGTTAAAAGCACTTTACAAATGAATTTGACTTTATTTGACTTAATAACAAGGAACGCCCTGTTTCAGTTTGGACACATAAAGCTGTTTGTAAATGCATCTTGCAGCCAATTAGAACAGATAGTTTATGATCAGTTGATTAAGAACACGCAGAGGTGCTAGTATAAAAGCAAAGCTGTGTCACCATTCACATTTTACAAGATAATGAAAGTCATACACGCAGAGCCTTGTGTAGTTTGCTTCCACTACTGGCTTTGTTTTGCCACTTTTATTATCAATAGAGGTATACTGTATCTGCAAATCTGCCTGAAAAATGGAATTACATCAGGCTAGATGTAGTTATACAAAATGTGCTAAAGGCTTTATTAAGCTGTTTTATTGATTTAAAACTCATGTAAAACTCAAAATCTTTTTCTGTTACTTAATTTAATATGAAAATATAAAAAAATATATCATTGGAAACCTTAAACTTAATGAAACAAAAAAAGGTGAAAGATAATACCTGTCCTGCCCCTAAGCTGTTGGTTTTAAGTAACTGTGGCCCTCTGTAAATTTGTTAAAAAGCCCTGTATTATTGTTTCAAAATAAGCTACTTAAAAGATAGCATCTACTTGCAACAACTTGACAGTGAGYAACACTCTCTTACATTTACTTTTAATAGTATTTCTTTCACATTTAGTCAGTTGTRCAMATAGTACWTTTCAGTGTTTATAAGARKATATGTTWAAACGCTGTTTCTATGAAGAAAAAACYATGTCGAGCTCAGTTATTGAKTATYAGCAGTGTTCAGTTGTAGCARTGAGACGAACATGATATTTTCTKTTTAGTCAAAGTTAAACACAAAACRTRGGGCCACCATAATGCTGACATGACCCTCGATGAAAAGGAGTTGTTGACACCCCTGGTTTTAAAAAAAGGCAAATGAATTTCAGATCTCGGTCATCCATGTTGAAGTATGAAACATGAACATGTGAAGATTATCTGATTCTCTTACATAAATGTCTCAGTTCAACATAAAGACTCACTAAGAAGATTCTCTGTGTGTCTGTGTGGATTAATGAAAGGGTTTTAAACAGTGAAAGAGGCAAACATTCAGTCAAATGTACACTCGGCTTCAGCCAACACTGGACAGTTAAACACATTCACATGCATAAACACACACACACACACGCAAACACACACACACACACACACACACACGGCCACTGTTTTTCGACCTGAAAGCCACCCATTGTCACTGACTCTGTCCACAGAAACGCATCTCTAACCTTCACAGGCTCGAATTTTAAAATGTGCAGACGCAGATCCCACACATTTTCTGAGCAAGGGGAGGGAGGCGAGGCCTATATAAACAAGTTGAAGACAGAAAACGGACAGATGGATGTTGATCGGCGGCRTTGGGATTTTAACAGGTTTTGTAGATTAAAAGGAATGAAGAGAAATAAAACAAGGACGTGCTTTTGGGAACTAACAAGCTGCTACGGACTGGAGGATTGAAGCAATAGGACTAAGCGAGTGGGGCTAGGACAGATAATCTAAACACAAATTGAGGGGATCAGTTTGAACAAGTGAATGCGTTTAGTTTCCATCTGTCTGCTAACAGGCCTCAGACCAGCCACACCACAGCTGCTGGTGTACACCAACAGAAAGTAATTTTCTCTGCGTCAGCCAGYTGAACGATGAAGTAAGCACTGCGGAGAAGACTTGTGATGATCCACTTTCAGCTTTGCCAGGAGTGTCAGGGCCATCGCCGTAAGAGCTCATTGTGTTTGCAAGGGGGACGCTGAAAGAGAGCAGGCGTGTGTGCAGTAATGCAAAAATGACACCTGCACTTTATTCCACCAGATAGTGCTCAGTGAGGTGTGGGGCGCAGCTCGTCAAGCTTTGTTTCTCCGCTCCAAACACACTCACATCCACACGCTTAATACACCTTCACAGACAGGACCAGCAGCACATCGGGTCTTGACAATCAACGGAGCTCTGTCTGGACCTTAAACACAGCAGGTTTCAGATCAGTGCGTCTGAGTAAGTGTAAATCTGGAGTGCACCTAGGCTCYGACTGCAGCCAGTAGAGCATGTTAGATAGGAAGTGTTAGGTCGATGCTGCATGATCAGACCGTCTGATAACCTGTGATTATTCTGAGGAGCCTAAATTACCATGAAAAATCACTCCCAATTCATGCTGCAGTTTGTACATGATACTGTATCGACAAGATTCCAGCATTCAAGCGAATAATCGTTTCTACCTCCAGGGGGAAAATAGCAGACCGAGATATGTAATATCTGAAACTAAAGTGTCTGACTGCAGTTTGCTCTGCCCTTTGCAAGTTGGCTATTCTACACGGGGCAAGCACTTTCACTCTGTATCTTTACAGAGCAGCACTCAACTTGATGGATTTTATTTAACCTTAGCTATCTCCAGATGAGTTGCAGCAAGATAGTGTCTCAGTCTCTCCAGAGGYCTGGTTAGTTTAGTTATAGCTTAAGGGAACATTGACTTCTGATTGCTGATTTGTTGTGTGGGAAGTGCTGAAATCCTTGTTTGATTTATCGTTAGACAATATGTTGGAGAATGAATCTGTTCTTGAGGCCGTAGCAATCCATTTAGCTTTATTTTGAAACTAAGCCAACAGTTGACACCTGCACGGATAAATTTGAATTGCTTTGTAAGAGATTGTCTCTCTGGCAAAATCTGACAGAAATACAGTGTTATTTTTGTTTTTGTTGCTCCATGTAGTGGTGTGGATAAATCTCCCGTGTGCTGTCRTGGTTGATTTTTTGGGGGCTCCTGGTCAAATTTGACACTGTAAGTTTGACACTGTAGTGCACGGTTGGTGAAGACATAATTAAGTTGTCTCATTTGGTAATTGGATGGATGGTTTGTTTATAAGGACCTAAGTGTTGCATGTGTACTTTAGGCACTTCAGATTTGGTCTTCAAAGTTCTAGATCACTGCGGTTAAAACAAGATAACCTGTTTTGTGCTGATTAAATGAGACTGAGTTTCTGTATTGCTTTCTAACATCGTAGGTGCACCATTTTATAGATTTACAGCAAGACTTGTTGGTCTTTTTTGTAAAGAAACAAACAACACAAGCCACAGCAGTAAACAAAAGGAACTGCTACTTGAAGCTCATCTCTGGGTGTCTTGTGATATACTGTYTAAATTACTAGGTCTGTTATCACCAAGAGCTCTGATCTTACTTTTGTGTACTGAGTCCCTGTCTACAAGTGAAACTTTGGAGAAAAAGCAGTTTTATTGGCTTTTTTTGTGTTGCAGTGTAAGGGTTCCATTAAGAGTTGTAACCAAACAACTTGTGTCTGACTGCAAAAAAAAAAGTACAACTGAGCAGTCTGCACGTATCTGCAGCATTGCAGTTGAGAACAAATCAGTGTGTGTGCGTGCGTATGTACCAACTAGTTTGTCTGTAGCAGTTCAGGCAGGGTTACAGAAGAGCCATTGATCAAATGTGCACAGCCGCTTACACATACAAGCCCACACATACACACTCAACTTTCCACCGCACAATGAGGACCGTTCGAAGCTCTGTCCTCTGCCGCCTCCTCCCTGCCTCTTTCTCCCTGGTCCTGCACGGCCTGGTCCTGGTCCTGGTTCTGCTCTGCATCACCCGTAAGTTGTGCACGCATGCAGTCACTCACACGCATGCATAATAAATGATAGGCTCTGCACTGGTTTTAGAGGTCATCTCGGGTCTCAGATAAATCTGAAGGAGCAAGTGCACGAGCATATTTCATATTGTCTGAATGTGCCGATTTATTGTAAGCACTGGCCCTTTGTTCTTTTAAAATGAACCATCAACAGATAGATCCCTAAATGCTCTAATGTACTGTTTCTTTTATCTCAAAGAAAATACAATTGTAGTCATTATGTGTAGCATGATACCAAATTAGATCGAGGGCAGTGCCAAGTACATGATCAAGAGGGGTTTGCTCTTGATGGAACCATGAAAAGAAGAGATAGTCTGTATTGTTTAAAATGCTTTTAATTAAGCCAGAAATGGCAATTAAGACTCAGATTGTAAAACAACGTAAACCTACAAAAAGAAAGTAGACTAGAAGGACGAAGAAACTGAAGCACTGGGTCAGAAGTCCAAGAAGAAATGAAACAAATGAAAACAGAGATTGAATAGATAGATGAAAATCGTAGAAGTCCTCTGTTCTTTTAGCTGTTCTAAAAAGAAAAGTCTAATAAAAGCAAGTTTGACTCCAGAGTGGGAGAGGTATACTGCAAACCAAATGGAGCACATTGTTAAAGAGATAGAGAATAAAGTGGAAAAGCAAAGTGCAGGAGACCAATTTGTATTAGGAGGGAGACCGATTGACATTAGGAATGAAGGGTTTGGCCACATACTACTGTGTGTGAGAGAGAGCAGCTGGGACAGAAAAAATAAAAAGAGAAAACCAAGACAGAGATGGAGAACAGTGCATTCTGTGTGTATGGAGGAAAGACAGAGATGGAGGGGATTGGTACAAAGATAAAACAAGACACAGTGCTTCAGGGGGAGTTTCATGGGGTCCAGATATGAAACCAAGAGGCATAAACTGATTTAACAGAAAGCAATGAAAAGTTCCAAATGGAAAATTTCTATTGGTGTATATTGCTGTTATTTTACATTTAATCCAGAGCTAAGTTGGCAGTCAAGTTGCTTTGCTCTGCTTCTTTTCCTTTTTGCCAAAATTTCAGTTCACTGTTGTTTTTTTGTTGAATCTTTTTTAATAAAGCATATTTTGAGGTTTGGGGCGGGGGTTGTGTGTTGATGTTGAAGTGGGATGCTGAACGTGGGTGACAATGGAGGAGAATGGGAGGAAATAAAGGAGTTTGTGTCTTGGCAGTCAGCGTCGTTATGCAATTAATGCCAGCAGGGCAGCTTTGTCTAACCTTGAATATCATGCACGTCTGCATACTTTCTCATTCACATTTCATTTCATACACATTTAAATACGCTCTTGGTTTTGACACACATGGCTTTTTTCCCTCAGATACACAGAAACATCCATCATCAACATGTTGGGAAGGCCGCCATGTGCTGGATTTTAAAATGGTGTTAAGACCGGTGCTTTTAGCTGTGGTGAATCTCCCGTGTTAGTCGCCATTGTGTAATAGCCCTGTCAATTTCCTTTAAGCTGCTGTTGGGGGGGGGGGCTTTTGTCGCAAGGTTGTTGGGGCTGTGACAAACCCGGGCCATAAAATACTGCACAGTAGACAGAGCCAGCTTCTGCTGTGAGAAATTTGGGGGACACGGAGGAGTAAGTAAAGAAGGACAAGGCGAAGGGGAAAACAAGAGATGGGAGGAGAGAGAGTAATGGGATGGGTGGACAAAGGAAGAGAGGAGAGCACTCAGGCAGCTACAGCAGGGGATGAAAGCGGGGATGGGATAAGAGTGGGACGAGGTGATTGTGATACACCAAAGGGCAGAAGAGACATGAAGATATGAAGGTCAAACTCAGAGATGTGTGAGAAGGAGGGGTGGAGGTGCTAGACATAAAGAGGACATGTGATGAGAAGGCAGTAGATGTCATCAAAGAGTGTAGCGTTGACAAGACCGGGGAAGAAAAGTTTGAATATTAAGAACAAAATTGAAATATGAAATTATTAAAAAAAAAGGTCAAATCACACAATTTTATGTCCGTTTTACCAATGTGCAATGCTATCCCAACATTTCATAATTGAAAAGTCTGAATTTTCGTTTGAAGAGATGGCAGACAGGAAAAAAGGAACTATATGACAGGCAATTAAAAGAAGCAAAAGTAGAGAGGAAGATGAAAGGGGAAAGGAAAAGCTGCAAAATTCAGTTTCTTACACCACTTACTGTTTTTGTCCTCTCGTCCCATTCAGTCCTTTGCTTACCCCCATATCCTTACCCCCTCTCTTCCGCTCTCCCGCCATGCTATAAAAACAGTGCGATTATCCTGCAGACTTGAGCTGCAGAACAAATCACTTTAGAGGAGGAGAGTGTGCAGACAGAACCAAGTGGAGAGACAGGAAAAGATTCCCACTGAGTCACAAAAACAGGAAGAATGAGAGAGATTGCAAGCGGAATGAAAGCGTATTGCAGTCTGAAAGGAAACGATTGCAGGAGCAGGAAAACCTATACGTCAAGGAAGGTAAAAGAACGAAGGACGGGAGTGAGGAGACAGCATCTAACAGGGGAGAGGAAAGGCTCGGAACAATCCTCCAAAGGCCTTGGAGAGAAAGATAGGGGAGAAGACCTTTAGGACAGCTCTAATGAAGAAGATGCATGATGAATGATGCAATAAAAGATAAGGGAGATGAGAAGGAAGGTGACAAGAAGAAGGGAGAAGAAACGATGAAGGCAGGAGAAATCAGGAATTGGATCAGGCAGAAGGTGGGGAGGAGACAGAAGGAGAGAGTGTGAGTTAAAATAAAAAAGAGAAAAAGGAAGATGTGAGGATGAGATTAGAACACAAAGGCAGCAGCAGAAGAGCATTGTGAGAGTAAATGGGGAAAGTATACTAAAATATATAAAAAAGACGGGCTGAGTGTAGTAGAGCAAGTTGAAATAATTGGGAGAAATGTGAGCAAAATTTGTCAAGGATTTTGTTTTATTTATAGGAGATTTATGTTTCTTTGCAATTTTTCTGTTTTTTTATTTTTATTTATTTTTTGATTGACAGAGTGTGGTTCCCTGAGAAAGATGAAGTGATAATTTTAGACTGAGAAGAGAAAAAGGGGGGGAGAGGGATTGGGAGAGAGCTGTAGGTCTACAGAGAGAGTTATGGAAAAGAAGAAGCTCAAAGTCAGCTTTTTCATAGAGTCAGTACACCGCAAAACTCTGTGATTAACCTAGAGCAAGTGTTGGTCTGCACACACACACAAACACACTCTCACACACACAAACATTGCAAACTTCATTTGCATAGATACTGTGGAAACAGGCTCGCCTGACAGACTCTGGGGACGGCAGAAAAAAAACGTACATCCAGATGGGAAGAGATGGAGAAGTTGCCAACGGACGACCCCATATGAGTGGAAACTGTGAGCTGCTGTTATTGTTTTAATTAAGGCAGCAACAACATAAGGGGGTTAGGCGTTGTAGTCTTCTGCATTGATTTTCTTGTAAGTCCAGGGCCAGCATGCAAAGAAAACACAAGCTCCTGGCCGACGTCCAACTGAAAGATAATGACAGATAATGAATGGGGTGACAGTGACTCCACTGATTCAAGGATACAAGGGGGCTTGTTTGGGGCAAATGGAGACAGTTCATTTCCTTGCACCTTGTCGTTTTTTGTTCAGTCTTCACCTCCCTCCACTCTTAAGGACATGGGCAGAGAACAGTAGGAGCACAGCATGGTGGTAATTTAGCCTGCTAACCCTGCACCAGTGAGGTAGTTTCTAGAAATTACCGTGAGCAGGGGTGAGCCAGCAGTCCACCTGGCTGCCTTCCATGTCCCCCTCTTTAACTCAATAAAACTCCCCCACCACCCTCTGTTTTTCTCTCTCCCTATCCTCCTCCTTTCTTATAAGTTAGCCACGTTGTAGTATCATTATAATATAACAGCCATACTTTATGAATCTGTGCTTATTTATATCTGTATATATTCAAAAATGATTTTGTCCCATGCATCTGCTGAAAATGTAGGCATATGCTTTTAAATCCTTCTTTTTCACATTTAAATCACTCAGTTGTGCTCTATATAAAGTTGAACCGCAATGCTTTGGTCTAAATACTCCACCACCCATTTCTAAGATGTGTCTCAAGGTAACTCATTTTGAGGCTGTCCTTTTAAATCCAAACGAGGTGCTTCACACCCCGCACCCCTCTGGCTTCCAAAGCGATTCATTAGCTTGATTTAGGACTATATAGCGGCACAGAAATGTTTTATTTACAAATTAATTAAAAATGATGTCAGCATCAGAAAACTTGACCATCCAGCCTTACATGTTGGAGCCAGAGTCTGACCCAGAGCCAGAGGAGAATGAAGATGACCAAATAGTAGTTGGTAAATCAAAGTTATTTGGCAGTTTCATCGCAAATAATTTGACGTAGTAGTTCAGAAAACATCGTCGAAAATAGAGAAAACTAAACGGGTTGTAAAATATGACCCAGAAACAATATAAAGATATCAATGCAGCACAGGGAGAGACTGAATTCAATTTTTCTGCACTCCTAGAGACTCCATGTACACAAAAAAGCATTTAAAGGCTAAAAAGGTAGATTTTGAATGATATGTCCTCCTTAATAAAAGAAAGGCTTCTTTGACAGCAGGGTTGGAGGCATCTCAAACAATGAGGTGAACCAAGTCACTGCTATGAAATACTGCCCTCGCTTGGTTGGAGAGAGAATAGATTGTTTTGTTTGACCTCTCTGATTTTATTTATTAGTTGATCATATTCGTCAGTGCCCTACTGGGATTTCGATTGCTCAAGGCATTCTCTCTTAATATGAGTCTACGCTCGTGGAGTATTTTATTATGGGCACAGATTTTAATGGGGGTGAGATTAATACCTCTGTCACAGAGGTTGATTCGCCTGCCCTCCCTTGCATTCTCTCTCTGGGTTAGTACTATGCAGGAGATCAGAGGCTCACGCTCATGGCCTTGATGTGAATGGCAGCCTATAAAACCTACAGTCAAACTAAAGTGCTGTACCCAGCTGCGATATGAGCAGAAGTGGAGGAATATGCGTCATCTCTCATATATTTTGTCCAGCCCCCACCAGCTGCTTTATTATACCCCAGCCTTCGCTTCCTAACTCCCTGCTAGCATTTCCTGGTTAAAGCCCTTACCCCGCCTGCACCGTCTCTCCGTCTCCCTGTTCCTTTCACCCACATTGATCATCCAACAGCAGCCAGCAGGTGTTCCTGGGTGGCATCTCTCAGCAGGCAACAGCGGATATCAGTCGTCACGATTCAAACAGTTGTTAATGCTTTTAAATATTTTACTTTCCTCTGCCGCTTTCCTTCTGTACTGCTATGCCACTGCAGCTAATTTCCTTTGAAGAGGTGACAGCTGTCAGGAGGACTGGGACTGCAGTACAAATGGACAGCTAATTAGTTTTTTCTGGCATCATCCCAGACACAAACTTTTGGTCACTGTTTTAAAGTCGTTCTTTGATGTTGTGTTTTTTTATTTTATTTTATTTTTTTTGTAGTTGTTCCTGACTGGTCACTAATCACATGCAGACACTTCACTGACTTTGTCAGGATGCACAGCAGCACTATTGCAATTAGCATTGTTTAACACAATAGATGCAAAGCCCTGCCCAGTTGCTATGGTGTTGAGTAATAACATCCATTAGAGGAATAATTGGGATGGCGGTGGCAGGCCCGATGGCCCTTGATATGAATCACAATATTGATGCGGAGAATGGGAGCAATAATGACTTCAATTAGTGGTAATTGTCATGTTTTTTTTTCCTCAGTTCTACAGAGTGTTAGAGTCTCCTTTGTCTTTATTCCCTCTTGGGTTTTTCTTCCCCGTCTTCTCTTCGGTATCCACCATGTCTCAGCGTTTCCCCCAACGTGATGAATATGTAAGCTTTAAGTATTTAATTAAAAGAGATTAAAATCAAGAAGGGAATTGGATTTGGGTGAAGCTGAGGAGATCAGATGATGTCAAAGTAGCTTAATTGCAATATGCCAACCTGTGTGTTTGCGCACCCATGGCACATGCCTACCTATTGTACATGCACACACACACATACACACAAACTTTGAGCATGTTCCGTTGCAGATTTAGACATTTATTTTGGCCTGAAGCAGTCAAGTCAGCAACTCCTGCCATGGCAGCCACCATCTGTTTGTCTCACAACATTTCCTGCTTCCTCAAAGTGTTTAACAGAGCTCAGGAACACTGCTACCCTCAGCGGTGATACAGTATGTATAGTCCCATCGCCTTTATCGGCTTTTCTTATTGCACGCTTCATCACTGCACTTCAATACTGATGTTGTTCTTCCTCTAAATCTTCCCCGCGGCCAACACTTTGCCGTGTCCAGGAGGAATGCAAATGGGGATGCAAATTGGTAAATACTAGTTTGTGAAAGCCAGTAAGTTGATCCTCTGCTGAAGACAATCACATTCCACCCCTGACTGAAACCATCTGACTAATTGCTCTTCAAATAATTTATATTCAAACAATGGCCCTCGGTGTCCGTTCGGCTCAGCAGGAGGGAAACAATCAGCTATGTCATGTCAGCAGGTTGACCGACAAACACAGAAGGAGCTATAATCAAAGGATATTCAACCTCTTCATTACTGACTTTTTGAGATTTCAAAACATCAAAGACGCCCCCCTGCTATTTCAGAGCCCCCTTTGTCTAAAACTGCAGGGCTTAGGAATCATTTTGTTTGGTAAATTATGTGCAAAAATGTCTTAGTGTAAATGTCACTGCATGAATGTGGGATTCTGTCTCAGTCCTCGTCTGCAGTCAAACAGTTAAAAGGAGCATGTGTTCATAAAGGTCTCTGCGTGTTTGAGTACTCATTTGCAAGTGCCTAGGCTGGTGCATTATCCCACCACTCTAGTAAGAACCATTAAATTTGAATAATGGAATGTAATCAATTGGTTTAGCTTCCACCTGGATGATGAATCGCATTATGAATGTGTGATGTGCAGTCAAGGCTTCAGTCTCAGAGCTCTCCACTTGACAGACTCCTACAAAATGACTTCTGTACTTACATCTCTTCGTAGTTTCAGGGTCGCTTCTGAGTGATCTGTTCGAGGTGCCAATGTGTTGGTCGATATGTAGAAGTGTTTAATGTGTGTCTCTAGGAGTTTGTCTTTATCCTAACACTTGTCTTTGTGATTCTTTAATGTGCTATGTAGTACTTTAGTCAAGAACACCTAACCTGAAGCCAAGTCAAGATCAAGACCAGAGTGTATCAAGGCCGAGGAAAGACCAAGACTTTTAGGGGCTGAGACCAAGTCAAGACTAAGACTAAGGGAGAGCGTGACCATAATCATGGAAAAAACAGAAACTAGTGCCCTAAAACATGATCCTGTTGAATGGATTGTCCATAATTTACACCAATTTTCCCTCATTTTGCAGGTATACGGCCGTATAGCGCAATCTCAGGATTTTTTCAGGTTTTAATGATTTTTTTAAACACAGTTTCAAATTTATTTAACACATCAGAGCCTGTAGGACATAAAAAATAATAAGTAATATCAAATAACCCTCTTCCAAGCTGTTTTTTTTTTTTTGGGTGAAAATTATGAATTTTTAAGGCTCATTATGTAAGTTAATGTCTGAAGGAGTTGACATGTATGCATAATGTATAGGCTACAGGTTGCCAACTTAATATGTTTGGCTAATATTGACGAAGTGTCTTTGTGTAAGGGCAGTAGGGTTGGGCAATATTGGCAAAAAAATAATCACGATTAATTGTGGTGTTTAGCCGATAACGATTAATTTGATGATTAATCCCCTGGAGTCCCTGGACACCTTTATGTCCTAGTCACATGACCAATTTAGTGGGAAAGATTTGCTCTTCATAAACATTTGTTCCAAATTGTGTCAAAATTACAGACTTCAGGCTATACATCAAATTTTAAATTGTGTTGATGAATAAATAAATTACAGAACCTTTTTTTTAAATATTCATCATATTTGAAGCAGAGAGGAGCACCGAGCGGTCAGTCCGCCTGGTGGCATTAATCGTATTAATCGTCAAGTGCCAAAAAATAATAGATTAATATTTTTCTGACGATTAATTGCACATGATACGATTATGCCCCACCCTAAAGGGCAGGGTAAATTATTCTGATATAGAGGCAGATTGCTAATGTTGCTAATTTCTTGCTAGCTATCTTACTTACATATAGCTTACCTTTGATGATAAAAGTTTGACATAGTCCACACCATCTCTGAAAGGGCAGCGCTGCAGAATTTACGTCGTCGTATGCTTTCTGGGAGTTGTTTTACAAATATATCTTTATGATTTATCTAGCCGAATTGTATTACTGAAAATTTTCTTCTCCCGCTCCCAGACAACCACGGTTCACTTTCTAAGAGTGCCACATGCGAGTGAAATGGGGGTGGGGATGGGTGACAGCTGTAACAAAAATACATAATTATCAGTGAGTCAAGCTTGGATTTGAATCAGTTCATTTTGCATACAGCGAAAGCAAAAATATTAGCAAATAAACTGGAAAATATTCTGAAAATGTGGTATTTTTCACAGTTGTGGTCTTGACTGGGCTTGAAATGAAATCCATGCTGAGTACAAAGAGTCAAGTCCGAGATGAGACTGAGACCATCATAAGTGGTCTCAAGACCAGTCTCGAGTGCTACAACATTAACAGTATGGTTGTTAGTATTTTAGACAGGAAATTAAATATCAAAGATTTATTTTCTTGCTATTATACACCAAAGTGTCGCTCAAGGATATGTTTTTACTTGGGGAGTCCTTAAATGTCATTTATCTGCCTTTTAATCTCTTTATCCCTCTGTTTCCTCCTCTATTTTTCCCCACATCCAAATTGCGCCTCTTTGTCCGTGTGATAAATAGGAATTAAATAAGGAATGTGTTAAGTACCTTATTTTGAAAGATTGTATCTCAAGAGAGCTGTGAATTGATCTTTTCTTTCTCCTGTTCATCTGTTCACTATCTACTGTTTTATTTTTCCCCTCTTCATCATGCAGTCTTTATAATACTATTTGAACATCCATCTTTCTCTCCCTCAGCTCACTGTCAAGCGGTGCAAGCAGAGAATGTGGAAGTCCTGGAGGGAGGCACGGCCCACATCTCCTGCCGCCTGCAGGACTACGACGGCTCCATCGTGGTCATCCAGAATCCCCGCCGACAGACTCTCTTCTTCAACGGCACGCGAGGTACGTGGCTGCATGCGTGTTTGTTTCGGACAGCAGACCTAATCCATCTCTGTCAACACATTCGCCCCCTGTGACATTTGAAGCAAGCCTTTTTAGACGCATTAGCACTGACACAACAGCCCTTGCATTTCATGTTATTCCTGTTATAAAACATCCTCACTTTGCTTTCATAGATCTCGTACTAAAAATTTTAACTGTCATGTTAATTCGGGAGATGGGTGTACTCTCGTATGACAGTGTGACTGCACTAACCAGTTAAAAAACACATAGTTTGAAGCTCTCTGCATAATTTACTGTTAACCTCATGAATGAGATCAGAGCTTATTAAAGTTCTCATTAGAGAATAACCTTGGCCATGTTTTTTTTTAAACTGCTCCATAGCAAATTATCATTGTAACCAATATTATAATCAAGGCAGATTTCATTTAGGACCTCAGGTTAGGCAAACACTAGATGTTTTTACTTGCTCATTAAATGCAAGGGCAAGTTGCTACCTTCGACAGATTCTTTGTAAGTGCTGCTAGGAAACCTTTCAAAAGAAAAGTGATCAAGGACGTTAAACATCATCTTTGAAATTTGTCTGGCTGCTTAATTGAAGCAAAGAATGCATTGTGTTTTTTGGTGTAGCAGAAGATATACAGGTACGTATGTACCTCAAGTCATGTCAAGAAATATTAGCTTAAATATGATACGGGTATATTATGTATATTAAAAAAAGTTTGTCTGGGATTATTTGGGTGTCTGAATCTTTTATGTCGATCTAATAATCTTTACAGCGTTCACTTTACCTCAAAGATGAGAGTAAAAACTGTTTTGATCTTCAACTTTGTCTTTGGAAGAGCCGTTTGGAATTGAAAAGACAATCATTTTTATGTTTTAATTCTTAACTTATGATCAGATTTGTTGTTTGAAGCATATAAATAGAAACAGAAGCAAGGCTGAAATTGTAACTTCACCAGCAAAAGGTTTTGCAGAAGTTGTGCATGTTAAATGACCAGCTCTGTCTTTATGGTGCTTCACTCTGCTTTTATTAGTTCATCTATACATGTTTATGTATACTTGTCTGATTTTGCCACATTTGTGCTTTTGCAGGTTGTGCAAACCCACATTTTAGAAATTTGCATCAATATATCTAAAGCAAACTATTTTAAACTGCACCATTTGATATGGTTCAGAATAGCCTTTTTATGTTTGATTTAGTTACAAAAAACTTAGACTTTATGTTTATTTATTTTTATTTATTTATTTTAGTTTTGTTTTACAGCTTCCCTGCTGAAAAGTTTCTAATTTGTTACTGATATTAATTTAAGCACAGTTACAGAAACTGACAACAAAAACAAATTTGAAACTAGTCTAAATAGGCACAAATTCATATTCTTTCAAAAACAGCAACAAAATAAAACAAACAAACCAAAAAAGGAAAAAAAAATATACAAAAACTAAGCCCACAGTGATGGTTTTGATATCTGAAGCATAATGGGGCCAGTTACAACTTTATTAGGATTTTTACAGGCTACTTCAAACATGGCTTCCAAAACAAATCTGGCTAAAAATGCATCATTAGCAACAATCTGCTGTGGGGAGTTTAACAAAGTTGATACAAAAGTATTTTTTTATGTTGGCTGAATGTGAATCCTATCTCACAATGTCAGACTGAAACCTGTCTTTTTGTGGCTTATTGAATAGATTTTACATCTTTGATTGACTTAATGAACATTAAAATGATTTAATGAAGTTCATCAAACCATACAAACCTCTTACAAATCCTAAGCATTAAAAAGGGAACTTTCATGAATTAATAATGAAATAGATTCCATATTAAACAAATATTTTGTTAGTTTCTTATTAAAGAAATATTTTTTTTTCCTTTTTGTGGGAGCTCCTCTCACTGTATGTTCCTTATGTGTCATGTGAGTAGAGCTAAAAGGTCCAAACTTGACACCAAACAGAAATATTGATTGGTTTGGTGTTGCTCAAACAAAGAGTGAATGGCTGTCCTGCACTCAGCTGTTTGTGTACCTGCACTTTTCTGAGGAAGGCACAGGAGCTAGACTGAAGCCTTGCAAGCAAATGTGCTGCAGTGCACCACTCTGCCCTAAGGTTCAAACTTTTATTGGTCATTATGGCATGTATTAAAATATCTTCAAATAACAAACCCACCAATTAAGATAACAAACCTTCCGTGTGCTAAATACAAGATATTTTGTGATTGATTATCTGAATTTGCATACAATCTTTTAACTTATATTTTGTGACTGATTGTAATCATTTACTTTAAACAGTAAGATAATCAAAAAGTCTCTATTTAGTATCTTTATTCCAGACACAAAAAAGGTCCATAGTAAAAACAACAAGCAAAACAAGAGAGAGAGAAAAAAGACATGTATTGAGTCACAAATAGATGATGATGCCAATGATTCCATAATCTTGAAGAAAATCTCACTGTGCTGAAAACAGGATTTACTAAAATTACAATTATATTATTGCATGACACCGATAATCTACACATGCATTTGTACATAAGATTCCTGAGCACAGCTGCACATGTGGGAACAGCATTATGTACAAACATGTGGCTAGCACTACTCCATCTAGGCACTTTGAGTAGTAGCCTCATGCCATCATTGTGTACTACATAAAGTTTCTGCAGGCTACTTTTTTGTATCGTCGCCACAGGTGGGCAGTGGATAGTGAAGTACAAAAAGCATTAAAAAGAGCTATCTTCACAGAAGATGAACACATACCAGACTTTCTGATCAGAATATTAGCTTGTGCGTACATCATACGATACTACCTAATGATGTCGCGATCATCAGATAGGTCATCATTTATGTAATGTCCCAAATATTTAACTTCATTGCATATATTGAGGACAATACCAGATAGAGAGAAGTCAGGGATTTCCAGATGCTTATCTGCCCTACTTCTAACAATCATAATATTGCTTTTCTTAGCATTGTATTTGATATTGTTACGGCCGGCTCAGTGCCCGCAACATAAATGAGAACACGACACAAGAGGAAATGGTTTTAGGCCCTGCGAGGCTTTTTATTGTTCTATTTAGTCTTGTCTAGGAGGACTGTTTGTTTTACCGGTCTTGATGGTGTCACCCAACACACAACCGTGTGCCTCACCAAGTGGATCTTCAGAACCTTTGCGCTCCCAGCTTGGTTCCGCCTCGGACCGGACCATCACCACAACTCTGTGTTCTCAAGTCTTTTCTTCACTCGGCTCCACAGCGATGCTCCAAGCACGTCAAATGCCCCATGCAGCCGTAGTCGGTCAGCTCCAGTCCTCTCACTTCACAGCTCCAGTCAAACATTAGCCATCCAGCCAATCGGTAGTAGAAACAGAAGGAGGCAGGACTTCAGCAGCTCCACTTAGCAGCTCCAGCAGAACTCCAACACAGCAGCTCAGCTCAGCTCAGCTCAGCTCAGCTCAGTCCCAACACCTCTCCTCACTCTGTAGACCTCAGACCTCTCGCCTCCTCAATGCAGCATGTTGCTCCAGCGCTGCAGAGACACCTCGCACTGTCACACAGTGCTCGTGCTGACTGCTCCCTTCTTTCACTTCACACCAGGTGCTACCTAAGACAGGCTCAGGTCTTCTCGACTCCTCCCCTTCAGGACCTTAAAAGGAAGCACACCTGATAGAAGGCACCTGCCAGCCTAATCAGCTGTAAGCAGGAGGTGCAGCAGGGCCGTCACAATATCAAAATCATAACCATATTGGGAGCAGACCCTCAATAATTGTTGAAGGCCAGCACTATATGGGCATAAGATTACCAAATCATCTGCATACATCATGTGATTGATTATACGGTCACCAACTACACAGCCTGTTTTATAACAATTCAGCCGTTTTGATAGTTCATCCATGGAGATGTTAAAAAGGTTAAGGGGATAGTATACTTCCCTGGCTTACTCCGTTACCAACATTAAATGAAGTAGACATTGTATTACCCCATTTGACATACATTAATTGATGCCCATACCAGTAGACAAGAATTTTTATTAGATATTTGGAAACACCTCTCCTTTCTAACTTGCAGAACAATTTTTGATGATTCACACGATCAAATGCTTTAGTGGCATCAATAAAACACATAAATACTGTAGTGTTGTGCAAATTATACAAGTCTAAAATCTCCTTTAGTACAAAAATACACATGTCTGTGCCATGTTTAGGTTTAAAACCAATTTGATTATCTGAGGTCAAGACAAACTCTTCCAGCCTATTTAAAAGGATTCTTTCTAAAACCTTTGACAAACTCCTAGCTAAAGCTATTGGTCAGTAGTTCTCCGAGGAGCTAATCTTACCTGCTTTGTCCTTAATAATGGGTACCAATATGACAGATAACATTGAGTTAGGTAACAGACCATGTACAAAAAATCCAGTAAAACACATAGAAAGTAATGGACAAAGTTTCTTGCTTGCATTTTTCAGATGCCCAGTGGAAATGTTATCCGTCCCACAGGCCTTGTTGTCTTTCAGTGTCATAATTGCATCATATATTTCTTGTGGGGATACATTCACATTCTCATTACTGTGAATGCCTCTCACGACAAAAGTGTCAACTTTTGGCACAATTAAACAGTGCACTGTAATTCTTCTGCCATAACTGACTGATTTCTTTTACATCACTAACACCATCAATAGCAGCTGGTAGTGAGGTTTTACAGTTATTTTTTTATTTCTCTCCAAAAGTCTTTAACATTATTATTTCCTACTTTCTAGCAAGAGAGTCAGATCTCATAGTATTTTCATTTATATGTATATATATATATATATATATATATATGCGTTGTTTTTGTTTTTATAACTAACATCCTTGTTACTATGTGATTATATCTGGAGTGTGACCCATTTTTTTTATAAACACTGTAAGAACACATGATTCAAGACCATTTTGTCCGTATCTCTTAGGCAGAAATGTTTGGTCAGGATGGACCACAGCGTTGTGACGTGATAAACTTAAACATTCAAGTTTGAATACTGGA